CTGTATGACCAGAAGTACGAGTTAGTCAGGCAAAGATGGGGTGGTGAGGCCCATAGAAAGATGGCATGGTATTTGCAAAGTACTGGGGAATTAGAACTGGAATGAGGTAAGTCCAGTAAGGATAGAGCAGTGGTTCTGAAAGTGATAAGAATTACTTGGAGGGCTTGTTAAAACACAGATTGTTAAGCTCCAGCCCCAGAGTTTGTGATTTGTTAGATTTGGGGTAGTAAAATTTGTATTTCTAACGTGCTTGCATATAATGTTGATGCTACTGGTCTGGAGACCACACTTTGAGGACCATTGGGCTAGAGCAAAAGGGACTATGAGGAAGATGGTAAGAATTGAATCCAGAGAGGTTGGCAGAGCCTTGTAGGCCAAGTTAGGAAACTCAAATTAGATCCTAGAGGGTAGTGGGAAGCCACTGGAGTGACATGACCCAGTAGGTGTTTTAGAAACATCACTCTGCAATAAGAATGGATTAAGGAGGGGTAAAGGGCTTACCCCTCTTGGAGGCAGGCAGAGCACCTGGTGGCCTTGGAGAAGTAATTGGAGAAGCAGTGGGGATGAATTAGTTCCTAATGTCCTGAGAATTGTATGGATTTGAGAAATATTTGGGAAGGGGGGCTGATAGTATTGGCAACTGGTTGGCTGTGTGCAGAGGGATGGTGAGGAACAGGGACAAGTTAAGGAAAGTGCCTAGGCGTGGAGAATCTAGTGGAGAGGGTTGTCCATTTTGGATACGGGGACCAGAGTGCAGGAGCAATATTGATAGAAAAACACAGAGTCCATTGAAAGCTACAATTTCCATTATGATATCATAGGAAAAATCTTTTGAGTTTTCTTCAATGTAGAGCAAAAAAAGTCATGTTTATCATGATCATCGCCCTCAGGCTCTGGATTGTCCAATTTACTGTTTATTGTTAAAATGCATTTGTTTATTATTACATTAGCTTTTTTCTGAAGAAAAATCTGAATCATGTCTCCTCCAACTTAGTACCACAAGTGATGGAACAATTGGGTTCCATGAGCTTGAGAACTTGTGTACTGCTTTCTGCTCTAATGAGAAACATCATTTTCTTGTGCTTCCAAACCCTATCAAGAATTGCATAACTGATAAGTTACAGTTACAAACTGGAAAAATATTTCCATCCTTTATACATGAAGAACTCCTAGGACTTCATTTTTAAAAAAAATCAACACCTAAAAGAAAAAAAAGTTCACAGAAAAATACAAATCTCTTTAAATATTTGAAAATGTGCTTAGATTCACTTGTAATAATAGAATGAAAATTAAAACAGATTAAGATATCACTTTTGCAAACATTTGAGAGTTTGACAACAAAACCTGCTGGTGATGTTTTGGGGGGAAATTCTTATACATTGCAAAATGCTGTAATTCTTATAGCGAGTTACGAATATCTATCAAACACTCAAATGAAATTAGACTTCGACCCAGTTTTTACGCCTTTTGATTCACTTTCATAAATTTATTCCATAGATATATCTGCACACGTACAAAATAAGGCATGCACACGATTGCTTTTTGCAGCACTGTTTGTAATAGTAAACAACTGGACTGGTTAAGTAAACAAGGGGCAGCTATAAAAAAGAATTAGCGAAGTTCTCTTTGTAATGATATGAAAACATGTCCAAAAATTATCCTTAGGTAAAGGGAATATGCAGACCCCAGGGTAGTCTGCTACCTTCTGTGAAGTAAAGGGGAAAAATAAGAATATATATTTGTATCTGCTTGTATTTATGTATTAGAAAGAGGGTCACCTGGCTGGCTCAGTCAGTGTAGCGTGCAACTCTTGATCTCACAGTTGTGAGTTCAAGCCCCACGTTGGATGTAGAGATTACTTAAAAATAAAATCTTGTTTAAAAAGTTGGAAAAGATATACATGAGAAACTAATAAATTGGTTCCTGTAAATGGAGCAGATGGGACAGGAAGAGACTTCTCAATGTGTACCTTTTTATATCAGCTTGATCTTTGACATGTAAGAAGAAATGTCCATGAAAACAAATGACCCATATTTTGGATGAAATTCATGAACAAACAGGATGTGGGGGTGCTGCTATTCCTACTGCTTCCCATGTCAATGTGAACATTTGTTTCAAAGAATTACAGATCACATGTAACACTGTGCTGTGATGGAACACCAGATGTATTCACATCCACTCAATTTAACTTGTGCTCTGGAATGGTGTGTTCACCTCCATTGAATTTAACTTGTGGGAGATTGGAGACAAGGAAGGAACATTTCTTGTCATTCACATTGAGTAGTATCTGATGAACCTTATACCTGCTTAGCACTGAAGACATACTGTGGACACGATACCCTTGCCTTCAAGGGGCTTACATTCAGGGTTGGTGGTGGGTGGCGGCGGCGGGGGGGGGATATATTTTTAGGAGGGAAGAAGGGAAGGACGACAGAAAAGATAGGCGGGAGGGAAGGGGAAGGGGAAAGAAAAAAGAGGCAAAGTAAATCAATTGTTTCATATTCTTTTATGAAGTGGTCAGCCAAGTGTGGCCACAAGAGAAGACAGAGAAACAATTTATTATATTACAGGCCCTAGAGACAGGAGGTAGGGTACACCACGCCATTCCATGTATTAAAAAACTTTTTTGAGTGAACTGAAAAGTTACCCTCTTTGCAATAATAAAAATTAGGCTTTTTTTCTCCTTTTCTCTGCCTTCTGCTTTATGGAATAAAAATCCTCAAAACTAGGAGCAGAAAACCAAGAGAGCTGTTGGGGTTCTCTCAACCCTTCTTCCACACTCAGAAATCCTTCTGTGAAGGGGCACCGGGGTGGCTCAGTCCATTAAGCAACCAATTTTGGCTCTGGTCATGATCTCACGGTTGGTGAGTTTGAGCCCCAAGTCATGCTCTGTGCATGCTGACAGCTCAGAGCCTGGAGCCTGCTTCAGATTTTGCATCTCCCTCGCTCTCTGCCCCTCTCGTTTGCACTCTGTCTCTTTCTCAAAAATAAATAAACATTAAGAAAAAAAAGAAATCCCTCTGTGGAAAAGCCGAGTGAGGAATGACAATTATTGAATAGCTAAAGAGAGGAGGAAATGCACAGTTTAGTGGTGGGTGCTGTTTAATTTTTCATTGCTTTGCCGGATAGACATTCACCAGCCTAGTTAAGTTGTGAATCCAGGATGGGATTCAAACTGAGCAAATCAAAGTTTAAAAAACTTAAAAAAAATAAAACCCAAAACTCCTTAGAGGAGTTAATCATAATTAATCCATATATACAATGAGAAAAAAAGCACTGTATCACCGCTTATATTTAATTTCCCTTGTTCGTGTATTAGGTGTTCACGTTCACATTTAGCTGTTGAAAAAGAGCTCAGGTTTTGTGAAAAACCAAAATGATATCTATTGTCACTGCACAGGATGTCAGATTAAAAACAATGAAAACACTCGCACTCCTATGGGCCCTGGATCCGCCTAGTGGTGACATATCCTAATTGCAGTTTCAGTCTTTTTGAATGACGGCTTCTTAATAACCCACCAAACTGTTAAACTCAATATATGATCACAGTAAGATTACCATATATAAATGCAGCCTTTGTGATTAGATAAAACAAAATCCCTGGCCCACACAGGCCAAAATTGGAATTTATTTTAAAAATTCTCTTTGTATTTCTAAGATAAATAATACATGAGCTTATTCAATTATATTTACTTTTGTCCAAATAAGATTTCTAACAAATACAACAGAAAACAAGTATATTTTATGCCTACACTATTCTACTTTTCATGAATGTATATTTTTAGATAGTCACTGTTATCACCCAAAACACATGCTTCTTGGTTTTGGATCTCTAGTGAACAATATTTAATCTTGCTTTATTCATCTGTTGACTTATTTTTTTTCTTATGGATAATGAAAACAATCATTATTTTAGCATGAATTAGTTCCAATACACGTGAGTAAGAGACTACTTTAAAATGTAAATAAAAACACAGGTCAAGTAGACAGAGGCCAAGGTTAAGAATAGTTCTGCAGTTTACATTTAAGTCATTAAGGGGCACCTGGGTGACTCAGTTGGTTAAGCATCTGACTCTTGATATCAGCTTGAATCATGATCTCACAGTTTGTGAGTTCGAGCCCTACCTCGGGCTCTGCACTGATGGCCCAGAGCCTGCTTGGGATTCTGTCTCTCCTTCTCTCTGCCCCTCCCCAGTTTGTGCTTGCTCTCTTGCTCTCTCAAAATAAATAAATAAACTTAAAAAAAAATAAAAGTCATTAAAAGATTCATTAAGAAGTATAACTCAAATTGATACCTAAAAAAAAAAAAAAAAAAAAAAAAAAAACAGAAGAAACTGTACAATAGGTAAATGAGTAAATAAGGAGATCCCCATTAGTTCCATGGCAGTAGCTTCCTGTAGTGGGTAACATTTCTATTTCTTCCTGTAGTACAGCCTCTGGCATCAGAAATAGATGGGGAGCCACCCCTCACTAGGTGTATGACCTTGAACACCTGTGAAATGTTAATAGTTATGTAATAACAATACCTACTCCCTCAGGACTGTAATCAGGACTCAATGAGATAATGCACATACAATTGTTGGTGCATTGTCTGCCAAATTTAAGTAACTGCCAAATAGTTTGATGACAATGATGCTGACAATGGGAAAAAAGTATGAGAGGCAAAGTGCCTTGGTAGGGTACAGTGGGTAGAAACACATGCAAGTCTCTCTCCAGGGCTTAAGATGATTTTAACCGGACATTTACTGAGTGGAAAGAACTCTCCTCTGGGAGGCAGACACCCTCGGTCCTGTCCCTAGCATTTCTAGGATTGACCGTGTGGCTGGCCCTGGATGGCTGACTTCATCTCTCCCAGTGAAGTTCACAGTGGTGTTCAAATGGGGAGGTGCCATGACCTGCCAGCTCCAACCTCTCATCTCTCCTTTGTAGGCATGTGTGCTCCCATTAAAGAAGAGAGCTGATGAAATACTCCATACTCACTGAGAATTCCAGCTGCAATATTTAGTTAATTCTTTGTTCCATTTTATTCAAAGAAGGAGCTCATTTACATTCAGCTTTCAATGAAAGAAATTAACGTTGCCATGCCTGCTGATCCCAAGGAAACCCCATAAGGAAGCGGCCACTTTCCCATTCTCCTCCTGCAGACATGCCTTGAGAATTAAACAACAGGCAAAACTTGGATTTCAGTTAGCCTTTAATCTAACTCCCAACTTGTTAATAGTATACAAAGATGTAAGTAGAAAACATCCTAATGTTATCTGTCAGTAGTTCTGAACAGTCACAGTGGTCACACTGTTGGAGCTGAGGTCACTCACATTTTAAGGAAATGCAGTCTACCCTGTTTTCAGTGGACAGGCAGAGAGATGAGGCTTATTTTGTTCAGTGTATCCAGTTGACTGGAAGCAGCTGTGTTCTCTCTCCTTTACTCAGCAGTTTTGAACACTGTCCCTTTTCCTTTTATTTTAAAAGTGCTATTAGAACTGAAGGGGGCTTTCCTTGCTAAAATAAAATTAACTATACGTGTCATACATTTCTGGGTCCGCTTTTCATGGTTAAATCCCCACAGAATTAGCAATTCATAGAAACTTAATTGTTAAAAGAAGTTAGCACACTTGTATCCCAAAAGCACAATTTAGAGTTCGCAGTACAGGGCTCTGTGGTATAAAGTGCCTATGAGCAACTTTCTATCATATACTGAGGCCACGGAACTTCCCTGGAGAACAGATCCGTTGTTGGCATAAACAGTAGTCACGGTAGGCTTCTCAGATAGAATATTCTGGATGCGGAGAACCTATTCAGGGGATACAAAAGATTAATACAGAACCACCATACACCCATGTCACTCAATCACCAATAATCCCTGTCTTCCACAATGACACAATGATTAAGAGGACATGCTGTTGAAAATAGCAGTTACCAATCTTTTTAATGTTTAAGTGAAAGTACTTTTTTTTAAACCTTCAAAGAAAGTACTTTCTTAAACCATTTAGTTGCGCATGCCAACACAGGATTTACTGTTATTATAGTAATTGAGCATTAATGGAAATATTTCCACACCAATGTGAGTACTTTCGCACTACTTTAGCAGGAACAGAAGTCATGTCATGGGGTGAGCTGACAATAAGCTAGGTATTTGAAATTGCCAGTATACCACACAAGGAGGGCACATGTCTTTATAGAAAATGCCTTTTGACCAGTTTCCACCGTAATTTAGTACATCAAAAGATTATCTTTCTGAAAGTATTTGAATAAGTGAAATTCTGCCAATTATTGGCTTACAGCACTTAGAAAATCACTGCATAAGTTTATTGAATTATTGGTTTAAAAGGGCTAAACAAACCATCCCTGTGACAATTTACTGTATTATTAGTTCAAAAGGACTTGAGTCATTAAAGTTGAAAAATTAAGGTTTAAAAAATATGAAAAACCTCTGACGACGGAGGATTATTTGGGTCATAAACGAAGAGCTTCTGGCCATTAGGATGACAGCCTACGAAGATGTCCCCCGAGGAAGGATCAATAGATAAATTATCCACTAGTGTATCCAACTTGAGTACCTTCCAAATGAAAAAACGTCAATATCTAAATGACATGAGAAACTTGATTAAATAATTTAGGGCTAACCTTTCTCGCCTCTTTACACGTGGGAAAATTATACACAGCTCCCTGCTTCCACCCTTTTAGCACCAATATTGCCTAAAATAAATTTAATAAACTGGCTTAGAGTCACTTTTCATCTTCCCTGAAATTAAGAAAGTTAGGGCGATAATCCATCTCTCTAAAAAATGGACTCCTTTTCCCTTAAAAGATGCACAATGATCAGTTAGCTCTAGGAACTCATTCAAAGCAAAATAGGAAATTCTTAATCAATCTAAAATATGTGTTGTCAAGCAGGAAGAAAATAATAATGGTGTGGAACCCAATTTCTACCTTCATTTATTATTGAAAGAGCTGACAATGTGCATAAATCTTCATTGTGGAATCCGTCTATTAGTCTTTTCAATTGTGAAAATTCTTATTGGAATTCATTGGGTACTACCAGTACTGCACGGAATGGGCTCTAAATCTGATGCAAATATCACTCCCAACCCTCTGCTGCGTGTAATCACTCAGTCCTTGTGATTGCTGGGGACAGGAGACTTGCCTGGTTTAGGCAGGAAATATTTAAAAACCCAGAATGGCAACACTGGCATCATAGTCTCTTCTAAGTGAAGCATTGTGGCAATATAGTATAACTATGTAATTACAAAGTGTAATAGATTAAGGTCTACTTATTATATGTAAAATAAGTATTTTACCTTCAATTGAGTTAAGTTCATATTAGGGTGTTTTTCCAAAACATGAATTTCATGAGCCAGTATATCAGCAACGTAGATGTACCTTCACAGAAAGGACACACTAGTTAGAGTTCTGTGCCAGTATAAAGCTTCGTTAACACAGTATGGAAGAATAAGTCTTAATAACCTGCCAAGAAGTTAATCAATGATGGGCCCTCAGGGACTACTTGATAAAGGTCAATTTTTATTTAAAAAGTACTCTTTCAAAATCAATTCATTGTTGCTACAAAAAATCCCGGAATTGCTTAAATTATTTTTCGAAAGGTTTGTAAGGGGGAAAATAATACAGGACATTATCTTGAATATAAAATCTGTGATATTTGCTGCCGAAAGGACAACAAAACAAATGTTTGACTTCCAGAAAAAAGTTTTTACATCCCACAATATAATTTGATATTTCTAGGTGTCATTTTCATGTAGAAATATACAAAGCAGGACACACTTTATTATTTATTAATAGTCATTCACATTTGATAAAATATTTATTAGCATATTGAGAATTTTAAGAGTGAGAGATAAGTATCTATTCAGAACAATCCGTCTACATCTAAGGACGGTGAATTAATGGACTCCTTTACGGTAATTTTACTCGTTGAATTGACTGTTCCATGGCAACTGTTCTATTGAGCAATTATCTTGTGTAAAGCCATGAACTCAGTATTGTGACAGACATAAAGAAGAGGCAGACTCTTCCTAAAAAGTTCATAGCATGTGGGGATGATCAGACTGGTTTGTACACATTAAACAAATAATACAACATGATCGGTACCGTGAAAAATATTTCAGGTCTAGAGACTGAAGAAATATCTAACTCCTGAGAACATAGGAGGCTTCACAAAGGAAACGCATCTGCAGTGGATATGGAAGGAGAGACCGGATTTGAGGAAATGAGGACAAAGCACCTTCTAGGCAGAAAACATGTGAGCAAAGGCACAGGGGCAAGAAGCAGAGAGGCATATTTGCAAAATAATGAGTTCTTTGTCTAAAGCAGGGAAAGTATGAAAACAGTTGAAAAGCGAAGTTGAAGCTCGCCTATTAAAGAAAGTCTAACCCTTTAGCTTGCCTTGATTTGATAAGCAATTGGGTCCCTCTGAATTTTTAGAATAACAAAGTGGCATAATAACAAATGGTCAGTTCCATTCAACAAGTACTGTGCATTTGATCTGCACCTGGCAGTGCTCAGCAGGAGAAGTCAAAGAGGAAGCACACAGAACCCCCTGTCTTGGAGGGCCTCAAAGGCTAACGGAATACAGAACAACAAAACTAACAACAATGCAAAAAATGGAAGTAGACTGAAAACAAGTTGGAAGGAAGTCTAATACGCTAGCCAGAGAGGCTGAGAACCTAAACCAGGCAGGTGTCAGAGGGAAAGAAAAGGGGACTCGAATGAGGGCAGAAGCCCCAGCGGATAGGAAGGTGAAAGAGAAGGAGTTAGAGCTGAATCCTCTTTTATTAGTATTGTTTGTAGCTTGGGTGCTGGAAAGTCTGATTCTCATAATGGAAAGATAAGAGTTGGGGAGAACAACAGATTTCACAGGAGAGTTACAAAGATTCCACATTCATTTTCTGTAATCAAAAGCAGAAATTGTGTCATGAAAAATGACATTTTAGTTGCCAAGGAATGCCAAATTTCTTTCCTGTTATATTTGTAGTAAATTGTTCAGTGTGCTCAGGGAGTAAATGGGAAAGTTAATAAAACTTACTATCCTTTCTGTATGTGATGGTTAGACACATAGAAACAGTGAGATAACTCGGTGGAGGGGGGGCGATTTGGCAAAATCTATACAAGGTAACATTTAAAGGGATCACTCCTTGAGTAAGTGGTTCTATTCTGAGGGGTTTGTTCTATAGAAACACTTGTACAAATGTGGAAAGAGGAAGGGTTCATAGCACTACATTTAGCCAGTGCCCAGCTGGCATTTGAACCCAGGTCTCTCTGTATCATCCCCAAACCTGAAGGTGGATCTTGCTGTAATGCTCACTTAGGGGGCTGTTCCTTAAAAATATCTGGAGGAATGCTGACAAAGTGCAGCCTGCTTGGGATTCTCTCTCTCTCTCCCTCTCTCTGCCCGCCCCGCCCACTCATGCTTATTCTCTCTCTCAAAATGAATAAATAAACTATAAAATAAATACTTAAAAAATAGCTAGAGAAGCTTCAGTGGTAAATGAGAAATACAAAGTACTTTTTATTTAAAAAAAAAAACAACAGAGAAAAAGCCTCCTGCATATCCATTAACAGATAATTGGTTTAATCAGTTTAGGATCATGCCTATAATGGAATAATATACAGCCAATAAAACAAAGACATATTTATTTAAAGGAAACACATACCTCATACTTTAATATGTTTATGTAAATATGGTCCCACTCCATAAAAATTTGCATTTAAAAAATTAAGTTCTACAATGATATATACCAAAATTTAGATATTGTATGTAAACACATAATACACACACACACACACACACACACACACACACATATGTATATAATATACATACATATACCATACACCGAAATAATATCAAGAAAGCTTTTTTACACTAGGGAAAAAACAAAAGCAAAGTGAAGAATTTGGCCCAGCACCACGACTAAGGAGAAATGAAGATACTCTAATAAAGAATCATACTTTTTATCAGGTGAAATATTGATCCCATTTGCTGCATCAAACCCTTCTGCTACCACTTTAACTTCATCTGGACTGTAGTAAACGACATTTGCCCAGTGTAAGTTCAAGTATGTTTCCAAATACTTTAAGAAAGGATCAGAGAAATAGTGGTCATTGGTGGCATAGAAATGTGCCGGTCCAACAGCTATGATATCATTCACACTGAAAGAGAAAAAATAATGTGTGAGAGAAAATAACAAGACAGTTGGTCTCCATACTAAAGATTAAGTCTCTAGAAGGTGTACACAATATGTGCTTCAAACTTTTTGGTACGAGCCTTCCCAGGAAAAGCTCAGCTAAAATCAAATGGCTGTAGTCACATGCAATCTACTATAATATCATTTTTTCAGAGAACAGTTTTGTATGATAACAGGTAATCTGAAGACAGGTCATTTAGCAATTATGGCAGGACTATTATAAAAGAAAAGAGAACTTGGTGCCAACAGGGTATGTTTTTTGACAGCAAGAAATGTAGGGTTTAACAACAGTATGAAAGGACACGGCTGTCTATGGTACAGAGCTGGGTAGAACCTCATTGGCTGGTGAGCTGGTTAGGCCATCAATAACATTTACCTAGCTTCCATTTACTCAGTTGCTAGATTTTCCTGTATTGCTCTGCCTAGTGATTAGTCAAAGTAAAGGCCGATTGTTCAATTTCTACCTGACTCACAAAGCTGACCTGCCGAGACTAGTGAGCACTCGATAAACACTTGCAGAGAGGCGGATGATGAAACTGCCATAGTAAAATGCTTCAGGTGAGAGATTTATACGTGAAAAACAATTACATTTTTAAAACTAGTTAGGCAAGGGTGTTATTAAATTTAAATTCCAATTACCCTATGCAAAAATTTCTGAAAGAGCCTCTTTCTTCTTTGTTAAATGGGAAACAGAGCTACAGGGAAGGTGAGTCCCCTCTTTCTGAAAGAGTACCGTGATACAGAGGCTGCCTGGACAGTATTTATGCTCCTACGTATCATGAGGTGCATTTTTGGAAGAATGATTGGAAGTTCCATGCCTAAGTCCTAGACAGGGATGGAGAAATTAAAAATATGCATCAAGTTCAGACTTAAAAGAAGCAGTAGGCTAAGGCACGCTGAGCTGGGATGATACACATGATTCTCTTTTGGCCACATTATCAACTGGCTGTATCTTCAGGAAGTAGGAGCGATGCACTCCCAGTCTGTACCCCTCCAGTTCTGTGGAGCCATTAGCCCACAGCTAGCACTACCCCTGTGAAAGCACATTGTATCAGTCCCATACAAAGCACACAGACTTCATTTAAACCAGGCCACTCCTCCTTAGCAGGACAACTATTAGTATTTGGACGATGAGTCATCTGAAATGGAAGGTGACAGCAGGAAAAACAGTGAGGTTTGTCTTCTACTCCCAAGATGGCCCTGAAGAGCATCTCCCCTGTAATCCAGTGTTTTATCATTTCTCAAGGGAATCCTCACAGAGCACTGATTATTATGAGTGCCAATGACTTTCCCTGCTCTACAAGGAAGCTACACACGCACATATTTATGTATGCGTATATATACATGTATTTTACCTCTTCTCAAGGCTGAGAAGGACCATTGTGGGGAATATATGGAAATGCCAGAGATAAATCGGAGAATGAACAAAGGGACTGAGTACCTTGGAAGAAGTTCATGTTTGATTGTTTTTAGGTGCAAAAGAGAATTTTCTTCTTCTTCAAATTTAAAAATTTCCACTGTATTCTTAAATTCTGGGTGGTTTACAACAAAGAGATAAACTGTGTCATCTAAAGAATTGAAAGAACAGAGTTAATTTACAAGACATAACCATAGGACCTCTGGGCAGACACTGACATTTAAATACCACAGGCGAGGAAAGGTTGAATGTATAAACTGTTAGACGACCTAACATCATTCTTCTTCCCCTTCTTTCCCATCACTGTCTGGCTGGTGTTATTTCTGATCGTTGGTCCCCTGACCTTTAAGAAAGAGTGTTTCCCACTCCATATACAGAATTCATGAATAATCTGTTTATAGTTTAATTCAGAAATATAGCTCTCTTTTAATGCAATAATCATAGGTCTGTGAAAAAGGTTATGAAATCTAAACATTCTCTCAGGTGTTAACTGTTAGAAATTTCAAATGTAGCCTAAGTTGCTGCTAGCTGGAGAGGCAAATGATCAACTTATTTGTATGAAGAATACAGAAATAATTCATGAGTTAATTGTTCTTCTCTTACTATAGAAATGATCCAAATCTATGTTCCACAGTCATTTGCAAACCATGATAAGTTTCTTAATGTGGGTAGCTCATCAGCTCTTACCGCGGTCTATGAAAGTGCTGATACCATGTGGATTAAACGAAGCCAAATTGAACCCACGGCTGATTCTTAATTCCAGTGCCCTCGGGTTTTCTTCTTTTAGATCCATCATTAGTATCCCTCCAGGCTTATCTGGGGAAAAGCTGTGGAGTCCTGGACACTTTAAACCCTTTTCAAAACAGAGGAAAAAGTTAAATATAGAGGCTTAAGTGTGTTTATGGGCTAAAATGGGCAGTATAAATAAAAGATAAGTAGATCCTTTGATTAAAGGTGGTGGTATTAAAGCTACAAATGGCAAGAAAGCAGCGAGGAGACAGTAGGAAAAATAGGAATTGGAGGCTGGTGAGCTGCAAGACGAACAAGAAATGATTTTTCTGAGTTGAAGCACAAGACCGGGGGTATAGTCTCTTAAGTGGATAACCACAAAGTTGGTGGCCCGGAAGATACCAGGCAGAGTTGAGGATGGGAGAAGTGAAAGTTTACATATGGACTGAAGTTTTGGTGAATGGCTGCAGTCAACACTCCCCTCCTTGTCTCACACCCCAGATCCAATCTGTCAGGAAGTCCTGTTGACTTTACCTTGAAAATATAACCCTTCATAAAGATGTGAACATTCCTCCTGACCTTTTTTTCCGTGACTGCTTTGGCCCAAACCACCACCGCAATTGTGGCAACAGTCTCACAACTGCCCTTTCTGCTTTTTTCTGGCTTTTCCCTATGGAAGACTGGTCTCCCATCAGCATCCAAGTTATGCCGAGGATGTCATGCCTCTGACCAAAACTCCATCTCACTCAGATTAAAAAGTGGACGTTCTTATGATTTACTAAAGACCCTGTATGATCTGCCCTGCTCATCCTCCTACACCTTCCTCGACCGCAAACACTCTAGGTCTCTGCTCCCATCTCCTATTGGCCACACTGGCTTCCCTGATGGTCTTTGAACAAACCAGGCACATTCTCGCCTCAGGGCCTTTATATCCATTGCTCTCTCTGCCTAGGAACGCTACCCCCCCACCCCCCACCAGATACCTAAGGCTCCTAGATTCTTTATCTCTGTTGTCAAAGGTCACTTATTGCCATTTGACATAGATACATTTTTACACGTACATAAATGGCAGCCTGACCACACCCTCAGCATGGCTGTCCCTCTCCACTGCCCCACCTTCCTTTATTTCTTGTAAAAGTACTACTACATCTGACACATATTCATTCTCTCCCCATTGGAACATGAGCCAGGACTTTGCCTCCTTTGTTTGCTGCTAGATCCCAGGGCCTGGAGCAGTGCCTGGCAGGTAGTTTGTCCTTTTCCCACTGATTGCAACTATCGCCTTTATCATGTACTAGACCCCTCTTTATATATTGATCTGTTTGGGGACTCATGCCTATTCCTGTACCAATATACCGCTTTTTAATCTCTATAGCTTTGTTTATAACATACATATATACATGACTATATATATATATATATATATATATATATATATAATTTATTTTCCTGTATAAAATTTGAAAATTAAGTTGCTATTCTGAATGGAACATTATTTTTATTTTTATGACTATTGCATTTTCTATTTGTTTTTTCCTAGTGCATGAGAAGGCGAGGAGTTTTACATGTTCATTCTGAATAGTCTGATCCAACCATTTCATTGAACTCTCTCTCCCCTTAGGTCAAACAGTCTGTTAGTTGAATCTCTTGGATTGTTTAAAAAGCAGGTAATGACAATGTCTGAAAATTATGGCAGTTTTGACTTTTTTTTCTACTTCCTATTTTTTTCTTGTTTTATTGGGTTATTAAGAATTCTAGTAGAGGGGTGCCTGGGTGGCTCAGTCAGTTAAAGCATCTGCTCTTGATTTCAGCTCAGGTCATGATCTCACAGTTTGTGAGTTCAAGCCCCGTGGGCTCTGCGCTGACAGCACAGAACCTGCTTGGGATTCTCTCTCTCTGCTTCTACCTCACTTACGTATGCTCTCTTTCCAGATAAGCAAATAAACTTAAAAAAATTGTTTCAAATTAAAAAAAATAATAAAAAGAGCTCTAGTAGATTACTGATGGTCACAGTATTTGGGGGCACTGTGTCCCTTTTTTAAACATTTATGGGAAGGTAGCACCAGTGGTAATGTTACACCACTGAGAATGATGTTTGCTGTAGGTTTCAGAGAAATTACCTTCTATGTCTAGTTTTCTGGGATCCTTCAAGCAGGAATGAACTGTTGCATTTTTATTCAGTGTTTTCTGGGGACCCCCTGAAATGACCTAGGTCTTTTCTCTTTCAAATCTTTTCAGTCATATTTTATGCAAGTTTAAAAGAGTGTACAAAAATGAAGTCCCACTTTGTGTACAAAATTGAACATAACAGGAATTCTCCCCAATTAAAAAAAAATCTATCAAAATGCTCTAACTTCAAGGCTGGCAGGCTCAGCAAGCAGAAAACTGGAATTGTACTATTGCTACATGGGAGTGCCACTTCTATTTTGGAGCACGGTCCCATAAACAAGAGCATGATTTCAATGCACAGAAAGCAGGGATGGTGATAACTATTCATGATTATTTTAATATTGCCCATCACATAAATCTGTTTTTTTCCTCTTTTTAAAAGTTTTACTTATTTTTACTTGCAGCAAAATATACGTACCAAAATTGATCACCTTCACCATTTTAAGTGTAGAGTTCAGTAGCGTTAAGTGCATTCACATTGTCATTTAAATCTTTTTTGTATTCTATTCTGTGTCATACAATTCTTCAGTAAGGGTGATGTGGGGCTGGAGGTAACCCTCAAACCCACAGCTGTGCAAAGTGTGGAACAGGATGGGTTACATGGGCTAACATGCTTGGAGGAAGAACAAACAGCTGCCAGGAGGTACACATTACTCGTTACTCATTTAGAAAGAAGTGCATTCTGAGAAATAGTAGAGACAATGCTGAGTAATTTTAAAAAAACAGCAGTTAAGTGGGATTATTTCTAAATCTGAAAAAAAGAAAAGACAGTCATATCACCAAGGAAGGACAAAAAAGCTGAAGAAATTCTGTTGACATGCCTACAAGATCATTATGACTATTCTAAGCCCCTTAGTGAAAATGGCTATAGATTTATGTGCTTGGAGACCTCACTCCTCCTAATTCAGATTTATTCCTATGGGGGCTGAGATCTTGAAACAGGTGAGTTCTGGATTACACAAATCTCTGAGAACACGTCCTTTGCAAAACAAAAAACAAAAAACAAAAAACCAACACCAACAACAAACACAAAAAACCAAAAACCAAAAAGAAACACATACACACACACACACACACACACACACACGCACACACACACCTCAACAAGTGCTTTCTACTTTCCTCAGGATTTTTGCGCCTGTAGTTATGAATAATTTTGATGAGGAATCCCAGTGTTTTCTCCTAAGCCTATAGACATATGTGCAAGCATGTGCTTCCAAACAAACAACCCAGAGACCTACTAGAAATATCATTTTACTCATTCTGTGTAGGTAATTAAATAAAACTTGTCTTTTGAAACTGTATTTTTTAAATTTCATATAAATATTAGTGTGTCTGCCAAAGCCTACAATGTTTCTTTTTTCCCTCAGTGGTAACAACCAACTGTTCAGTCTTTCACCTAAAAACTATCAGGAACCTGAAGAGTGTTCTAACCCTCACTTTCCTCTAAGCCAAGTTCTCTCAGCTTTCCCATACCTCTCACAACTGTTTTATTAGTGCTGTGACTCTTCAAAAGTCCCTCTATGGTTTCCGCATCTGAGTCTCAGAGCCTGAAAACGATGGATGCTGAGAGGGAACAGAATCATTACAGGCTGCCTTCAAATTCTGATACGTCTTGGGGCACCTGGGTGGCTCAGTCGGGTAAGCATCTGACTTCAGCTCAGGTCATGATCTCGCACTTTGTGGGTTCAAGCCCCACGTCGGGCTCTGGGCTGACAGTTCAGAGACTGGAGCCTACTTGGGATTCTGTGTCTCCCTCTCTCTCTGCCCCTCCTCTGCTTGAACTCTGTCTCTCTCTCTTTCTCTCTCTCTCAAAAATAGATAAACATTAAAAAAAATTGTTTTTAATCTGATACATCTTGCTCAAGAAAAACCAAACCCACAAAAATGCCACAGACAGTCACTGGCACCCAAGCCAGGGAAGAAGGGTGATCAGAACTTCCTCATCTCCCACTTACAAAGTTTTCCAGTTAGAGGCTACTGGTGAAGGTCAGAACACAGTCAATTTTAAAGACTTTCTACTGTATACCCAGAAACGTGACTATTTTTCATCTTCTAGGAATGAAGGCAAAAGTGAAGGTTATAAATAAACTCAGTTGATTATTTTCCACTTATGACAGGCTATTCAGCGGGAAAAGGAAAGAAACTAGAAAAAGAAAAAAGCCTTTGTCTGGGAAAGTTAGTATAGTGTTTGAAAATAAACAATAACAGCAAGAGTATAAGCTTAAAATGGAGGATCTAATGGAAAGAAAGAGATGCTTTATTTTATTTATTTATTTATTTATTTATTTTTAATGTTTATTTATTTTTGAGAGAGAGAGAGACAGCGTGAGCAGGGGAGGGACACAGAGAGAGAGGGAGACACAGAATCCAAAGCAGCTCCAGGCGCTGAGCTGTCAGCACAGAGCCCGACGTAGGGCTGGAACTCACAGACTGTGATATCATGACCTCAGCTGAAGTCAGATGCTTAACTGACTGAGCCACCCAGGCACCCTGATGGATGCTATATTTAAAAGAACGTAATGTAGTATGGAATATCCATAATAATGCCCAAAATATCCTTTTTAATAACAAACTTCTGAAACACAGATTGCATTGGAATATTTTAGTGCAATGCAGTAGGCACGTAAAGAGCAGCTCATCAACTGGCAAAGACTTGTTTATCTCTACATTTAGATAAGCTTGAAGACATTTTCCCAAACCTCGTTTACATGGTCTTTTTTGTTCAAAACACAGTTTTGAAAGTGAGGAATTAAAAAAACAAGTTCCTGTCCTGTAGGCCTCCTCAAACTCTCTTGTACGTCCTCCACTGAGACTAGGGAAAGAAGGAGATACTCACCACACTAAAGAAAGCCAGACCATTGGGAAGGATGTCAATATCATCTGCGCCAGCCTCTGGAAGTCCAAGAAAACAGATAAAGGTTATGTTCAAATTCCATTATTTGTTAGACACAGCACAACAGGGACTTTCTTTACTTTACCAGTGTCTGAATTGTTAGGAATAGTTCCAATTTTTTCTGAGGAAGCACTCTCTTTAATACACATCCATCGAAATCCCTTCCTGCAGTGAACCTCTAACTTTAAATGTTAGATATTTTATGTTTACTCAAATCAAAGTCAAGTAATCACCACACTTCCAGATATAATACAGAAAAAGCTGACATCTGTACACTCTTATGATAAACATCCAGATGTCTGTACAAAAGTAATTGACATCAGGGGAATATTACTTTCAGAGTGAAGGGCTCATAGTCATTTAGCCATGCAAATATCCTTGTCCCTTTCTCTGCTCATTCAATCTGAAGCAAACACAGACATTTCTCTCATTAACAGAGATAAAGCACCTGGGATTATATATTCCCTCTTTTAAAAACAATGTCTGCTTGTTCTCATAAGCAAAGAAAGCTTTCCATTTAATCTTTAAATTTAGGCTTTAAACTACAGAAAACAACTAGCAAAAGAAAATTAATGAAAAATACCATGCACCTAAGCCAGCTGAATCTTCTAACGGTTGTCTCTGAGCAGGCTACAATTACTATTGATTGTTTATTGATTGTCTTCAGTGCACTCCACACAGCACAGCAAATAATTAGACATAAGACCTTCCCAGTGGTCTCACTGTGTAAATTCTGCAGACAGATAATAGACCCAAACACAAGAAAAGAGGAATAAAAATGGCTTAGATTAAGCCAAATCATGACACATTCTTTGAGTCCACAAAATCCAATCTTCCCCTTTAAGACCTCTCCAAAGGATTTCTCCAAGATTATTTCTAGGTTGTCAAAAACAAACAGCATCTATGCAGCCATTTTGGTTTTGATTCATGAGTTTGCATTTGGTTGGTTGCCTCCAGTGTCGCCGGCTCTATCACAGTGGAGAAAAGCAAAAGAAAATACAAATGCCAAGAACTTCACTTTGTAAAGAAGACTGCAATCATGAATACATGCAATGCCTGCTCCTTGGCAAGAAGATATATGTGTGAGTGTATATATATATATATATATATATATGTATATACATATATATATATATATATACACTCACACATATATACATATATATGCATACACACACACACATACACATGCTTTAAGCATGGCATGATGGAGGAGTTCTTAGCCTGGTCTGTGGATTCCTAAGGAGCCACAGATGGGTTCCAGAATCTATGAACTAGTTGAAATTGTATGGAAGGCAAAATGGCACCTGGATGTATGGCTGAGAAATCCTATGAAAAGGATGAACCTTGGCTTTTAGTAGGTTGAACAAAAGGTCTTTAATAGCCCCCAAAAGTTAAGAATCACTAGACTCTAATCCCAGGGTTCTCAACTGGTAATGAGCAGGGACCAGGGGACTCTACGCCACATGTATGTATATGCAAACACAAACATACACACACACTCACATGCACATGTCAGTCCAAGTTTTGTTTTCTAGACCCATTTAGTAGGAAGCCAATTAAATAAAATTTGTTGTGGGGTGCCTGGGTGGCTCAGTTGGATAAGCATCTGACTTCGGCTCAGGTCTCATGGTTTGTGGGTTTGAGCCCCACGTTGGGCTCTGTGCTGACAGCTCAGAGTCCGAAGCCTGCTTTGGATTCTGTGTCTCCTGCTCTCTCTCTCTCTCTCGCTCTCTCTCTCTCTCTCTCTCTCCCTGCTCCTCTCTCTCAAAAATAAGTAAACATTAAAAATTTTTTTAAAATAATAAAATAAATAAATAAATAAAATTTGTTTTTCTTGAAAAATTACTTGAAACAATTTAATTTCAACATATACATGCTTATGCACATAGAACAAGAAAGGATATACAGAAAAAATTAACAATGGTTCTTTAGGTGGTAGGATTATGAATGATTTTCATTTCTTCTTTATACTTTTCTTTGTTTAAAATTTTCTACAAATAATAGTATCGTTTTAGTAATCAAGAAAAGAACAATGTTTGTGAAAGGTATTTTCATTTCAACTACATCATAACTTCTTTGTGTAATCCCATCACCTAATTCCAAGAAAAAAATAGTAAGTCTTATCTGTAGCTTTCTTTAGAATAGTTTCCAGATCTACTCCCTCCATCTTCATTTCTATATCCATTACTACAACAGGATTTTATCATTTCCTATCACCTCTTGGGTGTGATTACTGCAAGCGTAGTCAATACTGGAGAAATTTTTTTCTCCTCTAATTCAGTAATAGCAGTAGTACTAGTACTAATAATAATAGCTACTAGATATTGTGTTTACCAAGGGCTAGACTCCTCGCAAGTACTTTACATACATTATTTCACACAATTTCTATATCCCTTGGAAGCAATATTATTATCTCTTTCTTTAGAGTAAAGAATACAGAGCGTTTGAATAGTTAAGCAAATCGTTCAAGGTCACAAACTGGGAAGCTGGGACTCAAGTCTTTTCCTTCTGACTTAAAAGCACACAGAAAAGAAAATACAACGTAGCAGTGAATGAATTTTCTATGTCAGAACCATCCCCTGGTTCCTCTCTAAAGACACTTTACTTTGTAAATTTGACTGTGGTCAGTTCCACATGTTAGCTTTTTCCCAAAACGTTTTGCTTCCATTCCTCCTACCAAGATCTTCCCCAATCCATATTCGGTACTTTTTGTTAAAACCTCTTTCAAAACCCTCTTGCTCTAGAAAGTCTTCTAGCTTACTTAGCACATCAGGTTTTGATCTATTTTTTATTATATCTTTGGTAATTATCTGTGTCAGAGATGGCTAACTGCTCCCCAGTATCCATATTCCCCATCTTCCTTTTCAGCTACAGGCACATGGCAACCCAGCTAAGGACATTTTCTACCCTTTCTTGAGATACTTGTGGCCATTTGCCTAGGTTCAGGTTAACAGGATGCGAGAGTACAATATGTATGCAATATCTGGGTAAAATAAGCTAAAAATAATATCCACATAAATTTTCTTTCTATCCCTTCATGTTGGGAAATGGCAACAGTTGGAGTTGGAGTCTCCAGTTGGAGACTCAGTTGGAGAAAGCAGCAATATGTTGAAGAGACTTGTGTTGCTTCATCAACCTTTGTCCCAGATTAGCCACATGGAGCACAACCATCTAATCACCTAGGCCATTTGCTTATCTTTGGATTGGACTGCCATGTAAAAGGGAATAAATTTCTCTCTCCTCTCCTCTAGGTGTAACTTTATAACACCAAATCATCCCTTGCCATTCCCAATAGAGTATCCGATATGTAACGTAACTATTTTTCTCCACTTTTTTGGTTCACTGGTGAGGGAGGTATGTGTGTTAGTCACTCTGGGAAAAGATACTATATTGCAAAGAGAATTTGCCAAACGTCTCTGAGTCTTGGGTCCTTATCTATTATATACAGAAGAGAAAAAAGAAAAAAAATCTATTATCTCACAGTAGTGTACATTTTGTTTTCCTTTCGTAGAAGACTATAAAGTAAATGATCACAAGGGCTACCAACTTTAATGTTTTTTTTTCTTTTAAATCTCCCCAGCAGCATTTATTGTAAAGGTCTTGATTGCCAAGTGTATAAAACCACTAATTAACTCAAGAGAGACAATCCATTCAAAATTTTCTTTTAGTCCAGGACTCTGAATGCCCGCATTTTCAAAGACATTTAGAAAATGTTTTAAGCTTTTAAGTCTCTATAAATAGACTTAACTAGATCCTGTCATTATAATTTTTTTATTATTTAGATGTTGATATTAGGCCAAATCATGGGTGTGTAAGAGCCTGGTTTCTGTCCGTAAGATACAATCAGAAGGAAAACCAAAAAATAGGATAGTTGAGCTTACTTGGTGCCCCCGCAGAAGGCACACATCTGGTATGGCATGTGGTAGGTGATTATTATTTATTAAAACAGAAAGACATGAGATGATATGTATAGAGCACTCAAGAGTTGCGAAGAGTTCATTTCTAGTCACGGTGAATGCAGCACCATAGTGTGTGTGGGTGTGGGTGCTGATGGGGATGGAAGCGTAGGGAAAGTGGTCTTACCTCTTGGAGGGATAGCTGGCTTCAAGTGCGTGGCTACTACTGTTTCCCAAAGTGGAAACTGACAAAGAGAACCTTTCAACCCTTGTTGCCTACCATAAGAAGTTGCTTTTGCCTCTATGGGCATGTATATGCCCAGCACACTGTTATTCCCTATAATCAAAGACCACTGAATAAGTGACTGTTGTTAAAAACATGTAACTACATGCTATTATTAACCACTATGCATCACCAACATAGCATTCAACAAATGTTCATACAGTGTGTGCTAACCACAGAAGCAAAAACAAAAACAAAAAAACAAAAACAAAAAAAAATAGAAAGAAAAAAAGCACGATTCTAATTAGATCTAAAAATGTATCCCAAATGTGCTTCTAATCACTCATCGTCTTCGCTCTGTTGCCTTTTGAAGTGCCTCAGAGGCATTAAACACTTCACAAGAAGGGCCATAGGTGACATATTTCCTCATTCTTTCCAATTCCAGACAGCAGCTCACACACATCACAACATAAAGGTCACAAACACAGACAGACGCCTGTTCAGAATACAAATGTCTTTGGGCTTGTTTTTCTCTGAGGAGCCCTCCATCCCAGTGAGTTGTAACAGCAATACACTTGGCAGTTCATCCTGGAATGTGTCTGGCTGTGCCCTATTGTCTACTCTGGGACTTGAATTCACAGAAGGTGGGCTCCACAGAGCCAAGGGCTATTTAATAATTTGACAATTATTAACTCAGTAGCAGGAGTAACCTTCGAGATCACTGACTCACCCTCCCAACCTTGTACAACATCCCTCACAGATGCCATCTGGCTTTTGCTTAGTGGCCATTCTGAAGGGGCTCTTCATGAAAGCAGCCAGAAGGCAGGATGCAGTTGCTGAGTTTCTTGGGACTCCAGACAACCTTATTTCTAGAACTGTCTGCATTATCCAGCACAGATCTTGCCCGTGTGGTATTTGATACTGAGTTTGTATCTTCCTGCTAAGTGTGTGGGCAACGGTAAGGGCAACAAAGAGGAGAAGCCCCAGGAGCAAGAAGTCACGGAGTCCAGGCAAGGGAGATAGAACTAGGAAGGTGGACTAAAGCAACAATGGAAAATAGGACACAGGGCACATAAAAAACAGATGCGGAAAGGGAAGGCGAATAACACAACTGGAAAGAAACTTTGAAGTACAGAAGGCTGCTCTGAAAACTGATAGGTTTCATGAAAATGAAGCCTTCTTGTGTCTGATCCAGAAAAGGATCACTACTTTGTTTTTGTTCAAAGAGCACTGTGAACTCTGCCTGTAGTGAATGTGGTTATAGATATGAAGTACTTTATTAGCAATGCCAATCCAGGGCAATTTAGCAATGACTATCAAAACTTAAAACACGTCTGCTCCCTGAACAACAATCTCACCGTCAACAAGTCATCCTACAGACATACAAGAGCTACATGTACAATGATGTTCACTGATTTGTTTGTGGTTGCAAAAAACTGCAACCATCCAAATGTGCATCAAGAAGGAAATGATTAAATAAACCACGGTATGTGCAAACAGTAAAAAGAAGGAGGTAGGTCTACATGAGTTGATGTGGAAAGCTGTTCACCTTCCACTGAGAACAAAGCAGGTTGCAGAATATAATCTTATATTAAGATGCCGTTTGTGAAATATGCATGTATTTGTTTGCATTTGAGTTGGAAGTATCAGGAAAGATAAGGAAAACTTTATCTCTGGAGTTATTTCTGTGTGGGGTGGAGATTTTGTTGAGAGATTTTCATTTTCCATTTTGTAACTTCTCTTTTTTCTGACACTTTCACTAGCTGACCTCTAGGCTGACAGAGCACAGATTCCAGGGGCCACACACAGCGAAGAATATAAACTTTATAAAACGTGTTCAGAAAAGTCACTAAACAAGCAAGAAATCAAGCAACAAACATAGGATTACACAAATAATTAACAAATTGCAGGGAGAGTGGGGGACAAAAGAAATACAGGTGCATGAGATTAAAAAAAAAAAAAAAAAAAGACTGACCAAAGAGGTTTTCATTGACTTAATGTGATTTTTCCTCTGATGAACGCTAGTGGTGTGCCAAAACACTGCTAATGAGTTTTTTCGTGTTTTTGGCCAAACAATGTAAGGAGTATAACAAGCATTTTCTCATACTCACCGATTCCTTTAATGAGGTGGCAGTTTGGAAGGTCTACGGATTCTACTTCTCTGGAGGCTTTAAGTCGATTCCTGTTTAAAAAAAAAAAAAATCTATCTGTTTATGTATTCCTTGCTTTGTTGCAGACAGGGTTTAAAGAGGCTTACAGCAATACATAAAACATAGCATAAATCTAAAGCAGATGAAAGAGAAGACAGAAAAACAAGGGTAGGAACATTAAAGAGCACCAGAAATGAAGTTAAAATAAAAATGCGTATCACAAAGTTGTATGTGTGAATGTGGATCATAAAAGAAAGCCAACAACTCAACAAATAAAACTTGTAATGCAAGTTCCTGTGCAAATATAAACACAGCACCAGGTCACATTCCGCACAGCTCTGGTGTTGTGGGAAGAGCTCCAGATGTGGAGCCAGCAGCCCTGTCTTCCTACCGAGGGCCCGGAGGAGCCGGAAAATGCTCAGACCCTCTGCAAAGTGACACGGTGCCTGACAGGAGGCCAAGAGAAGATGGGTTTTCCAGAGCCAGGCACACAGAAGATACCCTACAAGCAGCTGTCAAGAACTGGGTCGAGGAGATCCCAGCCCCACACAGTGTTCATTAGGTGAGAGCTTCTCAGAACATCAATTACCTCAGCAAAACTACTTGCTGTTGCTGTTTGGCAAAAAATAAAGTGAAGAAATCATGAGAAAATGGCAAACTGTAATGAACGGTCCCCCCTCTACCAGAGAAGGCCACAAAGCAGTTTGGGCAAACAGGTGGGGGAGTTCTTCTTTTGAAGCCACATGCTATATAGGCTTTTTGCCTTCTCTTCGCTCACTCTCTCCCCTTCTCTTTCTGTTCTCTACAGTCACAAATGTTAAGAGTGCTTGCAGGGTGACTGACATTTTTCAAAGTGGGTCACATATATCACACATTTAAGAGACGACAATGGTAAGTTGCTGCTTGTCCCTCTTCCATTCATACCCTTGACAGCGTCTGACTTCTAGACACCAAATATGGGGAGGTCTACCGATCTCAGCAACATGGCAGAAAGTCGAGGCCTACCTAACTCAGAATTACCAACAGGTGGTAGCAACCATATATTTTGGCAACTCATATCATATATAGTGTTTCTGATTAAAATGTTCATCAGTCTGTTATTTTGAATCATGTAACTCAAATAGTATCCAAATTTCTTGAAACAATATAGCAATAAGGCTATAAAAATTGAAGTGAATCAAATATAAATAAAATAGAAAATTAAAATTAAAAGTAACTAAAGTAAACATATAAAATATGTAGGTGTAATGAAAATTAAACATAAAATACAATGTTAACGCAAAGCAAGACAAAATACAATAAATCTCACATTTACAAGTCCCCGGAGGGATCAAATTTTTCATTTTTTATTTAATTTTATGTTTTTTGAAGTTTATCTATTTTGAGAGACAGAGAGACAGTGAGAGCAAGAATAGGGGAGAGAACAAGGGAGAGAGAGAATCTGTCAGCGCAGAGCCCCAGGAGGGGCTCAATCCTAGGAACCATGCCATTATGACCTGAGCCGAAATCGAGTCAGAAGCCTCACCGACTGAGCCACCAAGGCCCCCCAACCCCGGAGTGATTTAAAGGGAAAATATGTATACTTGGCCTAATGTAGTAGAGTGGCAGTAATACGAGTGATAATGGGAATGCCACTGCTGATAGCCATGGGTGGTAAAAGAAAATCAATAATAAAAACAGTTAAAACTCACTGAGTCGGCCACTGTTCTATGTGATTTACTTGAATGACTTCACTGAATTGCTACAACAATCCTAAGAAGTAGGTACACTTGTCCCTACTTAGGAATGAGGGAAGTGACTCAAGAGGTGAAGCAACTTTGCTGAGGTTTGACACCTGCTGGGAAGAACCTTCCAAGGCAGTGCTCTAACCCACTCTGGTATTTTTCTCAGAAAGGAGGGAAGAGATCTGTGCTTCTGCCTTAGCAGAAAGACTGCCTGACCATCAGCAGGTTAATCTCTATGGGCATCGGTCTTCTTTATGTGTAAAACAAGGATGAGGTTAGATGACCTCTCAGGTTCAGTGGACACTGCATGACTCCAGAAACAGATGGAGATACATCAGTAGGTCTCAGCTGTGGCTTCATCAACTTTCTGTGTCATGCATTGGCTTGGGTGTCAATTTTATACAACTTACTATTATGTCCCTTTAACTCTACAAAAAGAGGAAGAGGATTATCATCTACCTATTGCCAAGATAAACTATATGGATAAAATACAATTCAGATGTGTTTGAACAATTTAGGTGGGTTATATCTTTACAGACAACTTAGGTCTGCACAAATGACTGATGATTACACACTGCTAATAGGGTAAACTTCATCAACTAGTTTGGCTGTACAATATCATCTCTAGAAATGCAGACTGCGTACTATTAAAACTGAGTTACGCAGGGGGCACCTGGGTGGCTCAGTTGGTTAATTGGTTAAGCGGCTGACTTCGGCTCAGGTCATGATCTCACAGTTCGTGAGTTTGAGCCCCGCGTCGGGCTCTGCGCTGACAGCTCAGAGCCTGGAGCCTGTTTCAGTTTCTGTGCATGTGTCTCTCTGTTCCTCCCCCGATCTCTCTCTCTCAAAAAAAAAAAAAAAAAAAAAAAAAAATGAATACACTTTAAATTAAAAAAACAAAACAAAACTGGAGTCACACAAGAGTTGTGCAGAACTTCCGGTTAATCAAATCATTTTTTCTTATCTTTCCTTTAGAAGAAAAGATAGGCTTTTGTTTCCAACCTTCGTGGCCCATCAAGACTTTCACATCCTTTCTGTAGAATACTGCTAGGCTTTTTACCTGGTAGAACTACCAGTTCCCTACCCATTAGTGAACTTCTGCATTAAGGCTGGTAGGACCTATTAGCTAACAAACCTAAAGCCATTCTCAACCCCTTTCTTCCTTGCTCCTTTCCACTGCAGACAGACAAGCCAAATATTTGCTTCCCCAGCCCCCTTTGTATTTAGACGCAATCATATGACCCAGGCTTTGGAGAAAGATATTTTTGTTCCTGATAGAAAATGCAGACACGGGGCGCCTGGGTGGCTCAGTCGGTTAAGCGGCCGACTTCGGCTCAGGTCATGATCTCGCGGTCCATGAGTTCCAGCCCCGCGTGGGGCTCTGTGCTGACCGCTCAGAGCCTGGAGCCTGTTTCGGATTCTGTGTCTCCCTCTCTCTCTGACCCTCCCCCGTTCATGCTCTGTCTCTCTCTGTCTCAAAAATAAATAAACGTTAAAAAAAATATTATAAAAAAAAAAAAGAAAATGCAGACACAAGATGAGAGCTAATTGGCATCACCCCTTCTCCCTTCTTCATGATATGACCACACGTACAGTGCTTGAGACCATACCAACCATTCAGTATCCTTAACACGACAAGTATGAGGACATAAAGCCAACAGTGAAGGATTGAAGGACAAAACTAGAAGAATCTAATTTTTTTTTTATATGACCACAGGCTTGATGGAAAAGCTATAGAATGACTTACCTACAAAGTTTTCATCATGTGAGAAAAATAAGCCTTTATTTATATATAATTAATTTGATGCATGTTATTTGCAACTGAAAACACTCCTGTTAACCAATTTAAGAAGTCTGGGGAGTATATATGAGAAAACTACACAAACCTCTTTGGACTAGGAGATCAGTCAGCTCAAATATATTTATGCCAAATTAAAAATAAATAAATAGGGAAACCTGGGTAGCTCAGTCGGTTAAGCATCTGACTTTGGCTCAAGTCATGATCTCGTGGTCCATGAGTTCGAGCTCCATGTTGGGCTCTGTGCTGACAGCTCAGAGCCTGGACCCTGCTTTGGATTCTGTGTCTCCCTCTTTCTCTGCGCCTCCCCTGCTCACACTCTGTCTCTCTCTCAAAAATAAACATTAAAAAAATTTTTAAGTAATATATTTTTAAAAATAATAAATAAATAAGTAAACAAATAAATGGTACAAACACAAATAAGTGACATTTTTGCTACAGCCTATTTGCTCCCTAACACTTTATGTCCACAGCATCCTTGTGACTGAATTAGGTCAGGGATGGCTGTCTGCTGTCCTGCAGACATTGTCAATCAATCATAGCACTCTTTTCCTTTAACCCACAGCCAGCCTCAGACATAATATTCTAGGCAACCGCTACTGCTCTAGGCTCCTTCTGCTTTTCTCACTTTCTCACTTCTTTTTCATTAAAATTTTGTTATTTTTCTTTTAGTTACAACTATACGATAGGTGTAGTGCAGCAAAGAATATACACGGTCTTCCTTCAACTGAGCCAGCAGTCTTCCCAAATGATCCCTAACAGAAACAGGTACATCAAGGTTCTTCAGCAGGGGTCCAGGGGACTTTATAGAGTCGTGGGAAAAATTCAGGGATCCATGAACATAAATGGGAAAAAAATATATATCTTTATTTAAACCTAACTGAAAGTAAGTCTCCTTCAACGATGACTGCAGGCAAGAAGCCACAGAAGTTTCTACCAGCAGTACCTATGTCTCCCTGTCAATAACAGAAATCACAGACATTGTTACATCACATTTCAGTTGCTGTAGATATCTCAAAATACCATTTATACTCACTGCAACTTCAAAATATCTATTGCTACATATTCAACTACCTTTATATCTATTTAAGGCTTTAATTAAGAAGCCCACGTTGTTGTATCACTAGATTTTTAAAATAGGCTGGTAACAGCATTTAAGTATTTAAATTAAGTATTTAGTATTTAAATATTTAAATAGTATTTAATTTTGTTTTACAGCCCTATGTATTGTATTTTATGCATTTAAAAACATGATGGACACCAACGTGTCTTATCGGTTGATGAATGGATAAAGACGTGATAGATGCGATACACACACACACACACACACACACACTCACACATACACAATGGAACAGTATTCAGCCATATAAAAGAATGAAATCTTGCCATTTGTGATGACCTGGATGGAGCTACAGACAATAATGCTAAGCAAAATAAGTCAGAGAAAGACAAATACCATATGATTTCACTCATGTATGGAATTTAAGGAAAAAAAAATGAGCAAAGGGGAAAACAGAGAAAGAGAGACAAACCAAGAAACAGACTCTTAACTATGGAGAACAAACTGATTGTTACCAGGGGGAGGTGGGTGTGGAGGGATCGGTGAAATAAGTGATAGGGATGAAGGAGGGCACTTGTGAAAAGCACAGGGTGATATATGGAAGTGTTGAATCACTATATTGTACACTTGAAACTAAAATAACACTGCAGGTTTACCAAACTGAATTAAAATAAAAACTAAAAAAAAAGAGGGGCACCACACACAAAAATTAAAAAATAAAATAAAACCATAATGTTGAGAAGGAGTCAAGACTTTACCAGACTGCCAAACAGATCTATGGCCCAAAAGTCTAAGAACCCTGCCTGAACATTGTCATTACAGGTAACTTTCAATGAGCACTTACTACGTATTTGGCATTGTTTTAGCACTTTACAAGTACAAGAATGAACTTCATGTTTTCATAGCCCCACTATGGAGTATCCTACAGATTGGGACATTGAGGCACAGAAAGGTGAAATAAAAAGCCAAGGTCCCAGGTAAATAGTGGAGCTAAGGAATGAATTCAGGCCATCTAGGCCACAGAGCATGAACCCTTAACCAACAGTCATTACCATGAAATCAATTTCTATTTCTTTCACTTAGGAAAACAGCATTAGCCATCCAGAACAGGATGAGATAGGGGCAGTTAATTATTATATTGCCTCATCTTCAGCAAACTAGGAAAACAGTGTTACTACCTGGCATTACTTTGTTCCATATCTCATGGCCTTTGAATTTACAAACCACTGATGGGGCTTTATCTTCTAAGTACAGGCTTAAATATAGACAAACAGGGGCTTTATCTTTTGTATACAGACTTGTAAAACCTCTTGGAATTTTCACCCCTTGAGTCCCCTTAATGCTGGTACTTAGTAACGAAGAATTTGTGATTAGTCATGTTAAGCTGGGAGTAAGTCATTTATTTACTCCAAAGGCAGAAAAGCTAGGAGGCTGTGGGGAAGCAGGGGGCAAATGAGAAGACCTAGTTTGGAGTTTACGTTCAGCACTTATTACCTGTTGAGCTACTAGTTGACTTCCTTCAGCCTCAGTTTTAACACGTATAATATAGGAAAGAAGACATATATGAAGACTGAATGGAGGCATAAATGTAAAAGGAAGTTCTTTCCAAATGTCAGTAAATGTACATTTTGGTTTACTATAAAGAACTTTTGACACAGTGATCAGCACACAACAGTCACACAATAAATGATAAGGAGGATGGTAGTTTAAAAATAAAACCTGAACTTTCAGAAGAGTTCAAAAGCAGACTGGATAGCTTTTTGGTGCGGCTGTCATAAAATCTATCATGCAACAAGCGGAATATTCAGATGCTTGTTTGGGGATTCCTGCTCACGCATAGGTCTCTGATGTACTCAAGTCTCATGATTCATTCAAGTATGTGTACTTTGCAGCAGGTAGCAACTGGCCCAGGGAAATTTGTGTCTTTCTATTTTCCCCTTTATTGCTCAACTAGGGAGGAGTAGAAAAGTTGGGTGTAAAATGCCATCCTCCCCTGGGAACTTTGGCCAGTTACAGTTCAGAAGGAAAGAGACAGCTTGGATTCCATTTATCCATCTGGGACATACTTATCCTAAAAAAAAAAAATAAAATAAATAAATTATTTACTGTTCATCTGAAATTCAGGTTGAAATTTAAGTGGGCGCCCTGGGGGGAGAGAAATAACTTGAGTGCCAAAGCGCCATCTCTAAAAATGGAACAATGAAATAGCTGGTACCAGATGAGAGCAAAAAAACCAAAACAAAAAGAAAAGCCTGGTTTTTGAAGGGCCTTTCCTTATGGGGAGGCAGGAACATGCTGCTTTTCAAAATAGACGCTAAGGGTCTGAAAGAAGAGATGCTATGCATTTGAGCGCCCCACCTGTGTCTGTCAAGAGCGGGCACAGTCACAGGGTTGCCAAATAAAAGACAAGATGCCCAAATTTGAATTTCAAATAAAGAATGATATTTTAGTATAATCATGCCCCAATATTGCATAGGATCCGCTTCTCCTACAAGATGGTTCGCCGGTTATCTAAAACTCAAATTTAACTGGGCATCCTGCGTTATTTTCTACATCTAGCCACCTATCACATATCCTAACATTCTCACATCAGCCGATTGAGGGCTTCAACTATCCGATGAAGTTACCACCCTAGAAAGTCACTGCTTGGTAAAATTTATTACAGTCAAATCTCTCTAAAGAAAAGATGCATTAAATTGTAAATGACCTGTAAGGTGCATTCTATGTAAATAAGCTTCATTTACTTTTTCTTAGGTTTGCAACTATAACTCATTTAAAGGGACTTAAATTTAAAACTTTAAGATTGGTAAGAAGAGAAACCCATGATTTGGGAAAACGTCAGCTTGTGGAACACTGATGGCTTGAAGTTCAGGACAATTTAATGAGCTTGTGAATTTTAGTGGTACTGCCTTTGAAACTGAGAGCTGGACAGAATGTACAAAACCATTCAATTCAAGAATGTCCTGCAGAGCAAGTTGGGCATTTATGTAACATGAAAATTAAGGCCAACACGTCCATTTCCTACCAGTAAGAATTCTTCCGTCACACACTTCCCCCAGCTTGCACCTCTTTATCAGCAGATAAAGCCCCAGCTATAGGTCAGTAGACACAGAAACCCTGGTATCACCTTTGACTTCCTCCCCCTTATCACTGGGGCTCAGGCTTGGGCCCCTGTTCTGTTATTCTCTCCAAACCACTGCAATACCTTAACTAGTTTCCCCATATCTGCTTACTCTCTATTCTACTACTTCTCAATTGTAACTGCATATTAGAATTATAAGGAGAATCTTTTAAAATAAACGCTCAGGGCGCCTGGGTGTCTCAGTCAGTGAAGCATCTGCCTTCAGTTCAGGTCGTGATCTCGCAGTTTGTGAGTTGGAGCCCACTTCAGATCTATTTCCTTCTCTCTGCCCCTCCCTCACTCACATGCTCATGTGCGCTCTCTCTCAAAAATAAATAAATATTAAAAATAATAATAAGATAAAATAAAATAAAGAACACTCATGCCTCGGCCCCACTCAGACCAACTGAATCAGAATTTTTGGGGGTGCAGCCCAGGCATCAGCCTGCCAGGAGATTCTAACATACAGCCAGGATTGAGAACTGCTCTCCTCCAATCCGTCCTTCCAGCTTTGTCTCTATGTAGCACAACTAACTATGCTTTATAACACAGCAACTGATTATGCTTTATATGGTTTAAACAGATTCCTGTTGAAACGCACACACGCGCCAACATCAATAGTTCTCCTTTGCCTATCAAAGCAGGCCCCAATTTTTGAACTCCTAGTTAACCATCTCAAAACCTTTCCTACCCTGGACCCCTTAACTCCCCTCAAGTTGGTCTACTGCTAATCTCCAAACTTCCCCACCCGTTCCCCTTTGTTCATGCTTCGTTTTTCATCTGGGATGGCCTCCTTCATCCCCACGTATGTTTCACCCATCCTTCAAGACCAATTTCAAATAGTCTCTTTCTCCTGAACTCCACCTTCAAGGGCTCCATCTTTCCTCCTTAAGCCTGCAGGGGTTGGTTTGTACCCGTCCTGGACACCCAAATTGATACATTTGTTTTACTTCTCTTCTCCCCTGTAATAGGGTGAACTTCTTAAAGGTGAGGACAGTGCCTGACTCCATTACGGGAGCCCAACACAGCACACCACACAGAATTGGTGCTCAGTATTTCTGGAATCCATCTGCACGAGGCTTATAAAATTTGAGTTGGTAACTTAGAAACTAGGATGTCTACCCATCCGTGATTTTCATTATAATTAAATTGGGACATGCACTAGGCTTGTGCTGTTTGACATTCTGGCTTCAGGGTTCCTCAGTGGAGATAAATAAGGAAGTGATGTAAGACCGGTCGCTGAATATCTCAAATATCTTTGATGCACAGCGCCAAGATTAGAAAGATGAAAAGTTTCTCAAACTTACGCAGGGGAGGGATGGTGCACAACTTTATTAAAGAAGGAGGCTGGTTTGGGCAACAAAGAGAAGCAGCACCAATGACTTGAAATAAATCTTTATAATGAAAGTTTCAGTGCATGAGTAATAGTTTTGCTTCCAAGTTTAAAGAGCTGGATTTGCCTGGGAGTGCTTGCAAAGCACTCGCTGGGGCTCCTCAACTTCCCAGAAAGTCTCGAGATTCAGCCCAAACTGCGTTGGGTTTTGCTAGAAGCTGGGGTGGGGGTGGAGGTGTTTCACAAGCTGGGTATCTGAGAACAACCCGGAGTTCTCTGCCCGGCAGCTGGAGAATCCCTGCATGGCCTGCGCCCTCTCCCGCAGCCGGCCGCCACCCGGGCCTGGGGACCCGAGCGCGGGGGAAGCTCGGGGAGGCGTTCCACAGCCGGGCCGCGCGCCGGCGCCTCGGTGCGCGAGGGCCCACCTACCTGAGCTCCAGGAGCCTCTCGCCCAGGAGCGCCAGCGCTATCCCCAGCAAGCTCAGAGCCACCAACCTCCCCATGGCTCGGGAGCCGGCGCCGCCAAGCTCTCGCTGGCCGGGGAGCACGGTGGGCGGTGCCCGCCTCCCCGCTCCGGCCGCGCTCCGCCCCGGCTCCGCCCTCGGCCCGGCCCTTGGCCTTTGTCACCACCCGCTTCCCCAGAAGCTTTCCCAGGATGCCCCAGTTTAGGTTGAGGGCGTGAAATTTGGAATTCCTTCGCCTCCTATCCCAAACAAACAACCCCAAGGACCTCAGGCAGCCCGCGTTCCTTTCTCATTTTCCTAGTCTTCAAAGACATTCCTTACTCCTTATCCCAGTAGGAAACTTCTAGATACAGTTTTAAAGATTCTTTTTCATTACAGGAAAAGATAGAGTCCTGTCTTGTGAATAACCTCATGCTGGAATCACTATTCATTATACCAGGGTGTAGACGGAAGGAAAGAGACATTCTGTTCCTGGTAATCCTTCATCTGGGCTCGAGGCCTGCAGACTTGAACACTTTTTGATCTCAGCTCAGTGTATGGGAAAACTGTTTTTTGCTTTCTTTTACTTTAAGAGCCATAACATGAAGAAAGAAAGAAAGAAAAACAAATGTAAAAGAGAAGCTTATTGGTTCAGATTGAGACAGACCAAGTATGCCTGAACTAAGCTTCCAATGGTTCCCAGGGTTTATTTGCCATCCTACAGCGTGTAGGCAGAAACCATCACAATTTCCAATCTTCAACAAACATCACTTTCTTAAACAACCTGTAAATAAAAGCAGATGCTAATTTCTCATCTGCCCCTCCCCCCACCAAAACCAAAACTCCTCTCCTTCTGTATTTGTGTTTCCCTGATTCAGTCCTACAGGATATTAGGTTATATTGAATGGTAGGGAGACAAACAGTTGTCTTTTGAAAGAACAGACATGTGTCATGGGTCCCTCTGGCACAGACAAATCTCAATTCAGGAGGAGGCTGAGACCCAACAGGTGCTGGGCCACAAAAGGAACAGTACCCCAGGATTTAGGATGGAGATATTTGCTGTAAAGAACCAGAGCTTTCAAGTTCGGCAGAACCTGCATAATCTCAATCTCAGAAAATCTTGGAGAAACTTTCGATTAATGTTATTAACACGACGAGTGAGTTCCCTGAAACTCAGTCTAATTCCCTCATCACTCTGTGTAAAAGTGCTGTATCTCCATACTCTTCTTCCTGCTGAGTGTTGTGCTGAGTGTCGCTGTCGAAAGAGTTTCTGCAGAAGTAGCCCCCATTCTTACCCCATATCCACCTCTAAGCTAAGGCTGGGAATCGCTATTTCTCACAGACAGATGGGGAAGAGAGGGATTTTCTGATCTGGAAATCAGAAGTCTATCTTCTCCATTGTAGAAGGATGGAGAAGACCGGTTACTAAATGTTGTAGTATATATCTGTTATTAAATGTTATGGTATAGTTTAGCAATCTTTTGAGATAACAGATCTCTAGGCTACACCAAGAACATAACCCTGAGTTTACGTTATTTCATGAGAAAAGTGGTTTCTGACTCTTAAATAACCAAGTTGCCCAATACAAAACAAACTTGTTCTGGAACTTGTCTGAATGCTGGCAACTCCTTACACTTGGTCTGAAGCAGTGTTTCTCAAATAATGACATGTAACTAGTTTATAATTAGAAATTTAATGGTTCTTAAGCAAAATTTCAGAAATAATAATACCTTTTATCAATGCTTCTCAAACTATGTGTGGTGAAGGACAGGTTTTTCTTCGCCTTTGTGAAGTACAATGAAAATAATTACTAGAAATGAAGTAAAAACTCAGACACAAAACACAAGCCCAAATCTTTTATTATTTGATTCAACAGACAGAAAATGAGTTTGTCAAATTTCTATAACAGTTTCTAAATGCTTGCTTTCAAATTTTCATATTTATCTCACCATGGACCAAAAACAAAGAGTTCACAGATTGAAATGGTCTTTGGAGCACACTGTAAGTGGACTGCCTTTCATGATTGTGCTTTTAACCCTTTAAAGTTCTTTGCCTGTGTTATCATGTGTAATGTCCCCGGTAATCTGCGGAATAGGTGGCTCACGATTATTGTCATTTCATACACTATGTGATGGCGAGGTGGTCCCTCCATATTCCTTTTCTTTTTCTCCCCGTCCTTACCTCTCTTTTAAAAAGGGGGTAGATCTTTTAACACAAAAATTCATTGAAGAGATGTTATAAAAGATAATTATTATCATTATTATCAGTAAAAGAAAGAATTGCTTTGTAGATGGCTTCATTCTATGGCTTCTCAGAGAAAAGTAAAGGAGACCTTTGCCTCCCAAGTCATTTTTATTGAGAATCCAATATATTAAAATATAAAGAAATGCAATGACAAAAGTCGTTTATATACCTATTTTAATATTTATAGTTAACAAAGTATAATTCTTCAATGATTAGCTTGAACAATATGAACTTGTTTTCCTTAGGGATCAAAAACACCCAAATACAAAATACAAGGTATTTGCTCCAATAATGGAGCTCAAGTTTGAAATGAATGGATTTATTCAATTGGGTTAAGGTATAGCTAGGACACATGAATAAAAAAATTCTAAGATAATGTTGAAAGTCAATAAGATAGCCTACCTGTTCCCACTAGACACGAGCCTATTTCTACAGAGGGCTGTACAGTTTCCTGCCTCTCTTCCAGGAGCAGCAGGACCCTGGAGGAAGAGGACAAAGGTGTAGAAAACACTGGGAAAGAAAAGCTGGGGAGACCAGAGGCAAAAACTCCCAGTCTCCTTCACAGGCTGACTATGTATGGCCTGAACTCTGCAGAAAAAGGAAAGACATGTTTCCCCCAGTCTAGGAAATATATGCATGTTTCTTCTCATCTAACAAGGATAATGCCTCCAGTTATCAATGAATGAACCTTGCGTGCAACCTCTTTCAGAGTGACAACCAGAGCTATTGTTTACTGAACAGTTCCTATGCCACACACTTTCTAAACACTGCCTCATTTAATTCCCATTTGAACAACCATTTGAATCAGGTACTATTATTACAGCGGTTAAGAGGTCATAGAGGTTAAGTGTCTTGCCCAAGGTTACACACCTGGAGAATGGCGAACCCAGAATCCAGTGTTAGAAAATTTGTATCAAGACCCCATTTCCACCCTTCATACATCTCTTATTAATTGTCCAATATAAAGATTTCTATACTTCTGCTATTCGTGGCAAGAAGAGAAACGAATGAGCTGGTAGTGAGAGCTGTGGAAAACCATCTCATGCCAATGGACACGAGAGGGTCTTTAAAACAAGGTTGCTTTAAAAAATTTTTTTTCATGTTTATTTATTTTTGAGAGAGAGAGAGTCGGAGTGCAAGTGGGGGAGGGTCAGAGAGAGAGGGAGACACAGAATCTGAAGCAGCCTCCAGGCTCTTGTCAGCACAGAGCCTGACGCGGGGCTTGAACTCACGAACCGCGAGATCGTGACCTGAGCCTAGTTCGGCTGCTTAACCGACTGAGCCACCCAGGCGCCCCAAAACAAGGTTGCTTTTTATACTTTCCTTTGCCTGCTTACATCACTTAACCTTTATTGAGTGTGTTCTGCATCTCTAAGCAATTACTGGGAATTCAAAATAAAGGAGGTCCACATTCCTGTCCTGGTGGTGGTCATAGGCTAGCCAGAGAGAGAGGTACCTGGACATATGCGATGTTGTGTGTCAAGCGCTAAGAACTTCAATCTTACCTTGTAAGTGACGTAAAGCCACTAAAGCCTTTTAAGGAAGGGAGAAACAGCTGTGTTTTGCAAAGGTCACTCTGATGGCTGTGGGAAGGGGAGCTGAAGTGTACTTCCCAAGTCTGCTTGAGAGAAGAGACAGATGTGAACAAGGCAGAGGCAGTGGGGAGGGAGGAGAGGGAGCAGATTTAAGGAATGTCAGAGGTTGAATGCATAGAAAGTGGTGAATGATGAGATGGGAGAAAAGGGAGGGTTGAGGATGACATGTTCCCCAGTTCAACAAGGGAAAATGGGGCTGTGCCAACTGGGACAGGAAGGTTTGAAGAGCACATCTGATGTACTCAAAGCCCTGGTGACAATTGCAGACAATTGGTGCTCAGGGATGAGGTCTTATCTGGACAAGGAGACTTTGGGATCATTAGCAGACAGTACAGCAGACTGAATCAAAGTCCGTCAAGAAGGGAAGAGGTTGTAGCCTGAAGTGAAGTGATATAGGTCAAAGTCTTTAAAACGTTTTGGTTGTATAAGTGGCTAGGAGGCAGGTCGCAATGTGAGGAGTGTTACAGAGAATTAGGAACTGAACTGAACTTCAGGGAATTACCTTAAACTAGGGAAAGCAAAGACTGGCATAGACATGGCTGTTTGCCTTTTCTCCTGAATCTGGGCATGGTCTTGAAGTTGTTCCTGCCATGGTGTTCTAGGCAGTCACTCCCTAGCCATGGAAAATGAAACCTATTTACTATTCACTTATAGGGATTGGGAACCATGTGGAAGATGGAGGTAGAAGTGGTTTGGAAAGAAATCTCCAAAGTTATTTGTGCTTGGGTAAGATGGCTCCTCCCTTGGCTTCTATACCCCCACTGGTAGGAGTAACAAGAGAGCCTTGAAACATGCTTCTGTCAAGACCTCTCTCTTTTTCAACACTCATGCCTTACCTTCAATATCTATGTAATCTCATTAGGCCTTTTATCCCTATGTTATGTGGTCACCATCTGAAGGATATCCTTCAGTAAATATCCTCTACAACTTTCTGTGTTATCTTCTTTTTTTTTTTAATGTTTATTTATTTTTGAGAAAGTGGAGGAGGGGCAGAGAGAGGGAGAGAGAGAATCCCAAGCAGGCTCTGCATTGTCAGCATACAGCCCAGGGCAGGACTCGAGCTCACAAACCATGAGATCGTGTTCTCAGCCGAAATCAAGAGTCAGACTCTTAACCCACTGAGGCATGCTGGCGCCCCTCTGTGTTATCTTCTGACCCCCAGCTGGGACACTTTCTCCCTGTCCTAGAAGGTTCTAGCTCCTGGCTCACAATCAATTCCTTCTATACTATCTGTATTCAGTTCTTAGTGATCTTAACATTCGCATCTGTGGCTTTTCCA